AGGGGAAACAAAAAGAAACAAAAAAAAAAGCTAGAAAACCAGTTCTTACCACCGTTAGAAAACCCCTGCGAGGGCTTGCTGGGACCTGACATTCAGGGTCTGCTTTAAACTCAGGGGAAGGGAGGAGAAAGGAAGCACTGGGAAACCAACACAAGGGTCTGTGCTCAGGGATGCTGGGCGAGACTCTGGGCCCCGTAAACTATTTCCCTTTACTTCTGTGCAGATTTGAAAATTTCTAAACTAAGAAGTCTTCTTCAGAGACTGACACTGTCCTACAATGTCTCCTAAAATGTCTTTGAGGATTTTGATGATTGTAGTTTGTATGCATAAGTTTTTAGTTACTCTCACACTTAGTTTTAGATACGATTTTACCTCCTTCCACGTGGCACCTGTTAACACCATCACTCACCCAGTGCACTCCCCTTTCCACCAAAACCAGACACGCCTCTGTCACAGTGCGAATCCTTTCAGCTCTGAACAGAGTACTGCTCTCATGTGTTTTAAAGACTGGGAAACCAAAGTCCTAACTAGTTTTTAAAATAATTTTCTTGGGGATGCACCCTGCATGTGAACTTTAAATGTATTTTATAATCAAGTTAAAAAATTTTGGCCAGGGCTCAGCGGTGGAATGAAGCAGTGCGTCAGCCTCTCAGGAAACGGCACACAGGACTCAGCAGTAGAAATGAAAAGGTTTGTACACACAACGTCTCGCACATGAATATTCCTGGCAACCTTATTCACAACAGCAACAGACAGAAATAGTCCCGGTGTACTTTACTGAGTCCTGGTTGAAGGCACTCTGGTAAAACCCAACCGTGGGCTAGGAAGGCACAAACTGTGAACACACGGACAGCTCGATGGGGTCTCAGGGCACCATGCTCACAGAAAATGCCACGACCATATGAGTCGATCATGGCATATTCTAGAAGGGCGGCAGGGGGGTGAGAATGCAAAGGGCAGGGGCTGTCTCTGTGGGAAGGACGCAGGTTTCTGATTGAGTGTGGAGTTCGTTACAGAAAGCTACAGATTGTGCATCAATCTGCACAAAACTAGACACACATGCCCACTCCACACACACATGAAGCCGCAAAACTGCAAAGGCCTGCAGTCCAGTTAAGAGGCAGTGCCTCAACACACGGTCCTGGCTCCAACACTGTGAGGCCGAACCCGGAGTCACCGCAGGGGAAGCGTGGGAAGCACAGCTAGGCTCTATTACTAATCTCATAACTTCCTGTAAGTCTGTAATTATTTCAAAGTGAAGAATATTTTTTAAAAACAGACTGGATAATGCAGACCAACCCTCCACTAAGACATTTTTAAAAGCCAGACAAAATGAAAGCACACAGGAAGTGCCTGCAGTCACCAGAGAGCTCACGAGGCCCTGACGGGGACGGCGCGGCGGGGCCAACTCTCCCCGGCTCACGGCTGACTCCAGGGGGCACCACAAAAACCAGAAACCCCCAACAGTGCATTCAGGAGCGTCCCCAGCTAGCGGGAAGACGGGACTCCAGGACGACCAAGGGAGAACCGGGAAAGCCCTCGCCGCGGTTCTGAACCCGGAGGACCACACCTAGAAACAGGTGTGAAACGTGGGCCAGCCCAGCACTGACCCCTCTCACATCCTGAAACCCGACAGAGGTGACCCCGACAGCAAGCATCCACCTCCCGTCAAGGGCAAACGTCAAGTCTCTCTGGGAGAGGAGAACATTCCAGGCCTCAAAGCATTTCTGTAATGTTTTGTTCCTGTGGCTTGGTGGAGATGCTTTTCGTGTATGATACGCCATCCTTCAGAAACAGCCACGGAGGCTCCAGGTGATGACATTAAACAAAGACTTTAAACCATGCTTAATATGTTCCAGGACGTGAAAAAAATGAAAACTAAGAAGAATATGCAAACTATAAAAAATTAATACAAGTTCTGAGAAGTAAAAAAGAATTCAAGGATGCGTTTAATGGCAGATATGGCACACCTGAAAGAATTTGTGACAATGAAATTTAAGTCAAAGAAAATGTTCCTGTAATCCCAGCACTTTGGGAGGCCAAGGTGAGTGGATCACAAGGTCAAGAGATCAAGACCAACCTGGCCAATGTGGTGAAACCGCATCTCTACAAAAAATACAAAAATTAGCCGGGTGAGGTGGCACATGCCTGTAGTCCCAGCTACTCGGGAGGCTGAGGCAGGAGAATCGCTTAATCCCGGAAGGTGGAGGTTGCAGTGAGCTGAGATTGTGCCACTGCACTCCAGCCTGGGTGATAGAGCGAGACTCCAACTCAAAAAAAAAAAAAGAAAAAAAAATGTCCAAACTGAATCAGACAAAACCAGAGAAGAGAGGTAAGAGGCGTAAAGAATTAAGTGCAGTGAGATCCAGATGAGAAGTGGGTAATGAGTCCTAAAAGGAGAGGAGAGGCCAGTGAGCAATGTTCAAAGAGATCATGGCTAGGAATTTTTTTAAAGCAAACAAAACATCGACAGAAAATACAGATTATGGAACAAGTATGAACCCTAGAGCCCCAAGTCAGATAAACACAAAGGGAACTTGTTCTAGGAATATCACAGTAAAAGTGCTGAAAACCAAATAAAGATAAAATCTCCAAAAAAGCCGGGGAAACTTAAAAGAATGTCTCCGATAAAGTAACAAGTAGACTGGCGGCTAAGTTCTCCAGAAGACAAGAGACTATTATTTTTAAAGTGCCAAAACACAAGCAAATGAAGAAATGCAAAGTTTCATTCTTAGCAACAATACCTTTAAGAATCAAAGTGAAAAAAGAAAAAAAAAAAAAGCTCTCTGGGAGGCCTCGCGGGTGGATCACCTGAGGTCGGGAGTTCGAGACCAGCCTGGCCAACATGGTGAACCCCATCTCTACTAAAAATACAAAATTGGCCGGGTGTGGTGGTGCGTGCCTGTAGTCCCAGCTACTTGGGAAGCTGAGGGAGGAGAATCGCTTGAACCTGGGAGATGGAAGTTGCAGTGAGCCGAGATCGCACCACTGCACTCCAGCCTGGGCAATAAAGAGTGAATGAAACTCTGTCTCAAAAAAAAAAAAGTGGAAAAAAGCCATTTTGGGATAAACAAACAAGTGGGTGCCACCAGCAGACACACACTACAGAAAACACTAGCGTGTTCTCCAAGCAAAGTGAAAATGGTCTTCGTAGAAGGTGAGAAATGCAGGACAGAACAAGGAGAAGCAGCAGGTGTCTGTGTGGGTAAATCCCAGTGAACTCCCATGGAACAAGAGAACAGGGTGTCTGTACATGTAAATCCGAGTGAACTCCGACTACGTAAAACAGCACAACGTCCTGTGTGATTTGAGACAGAAGTAAAAGCGAAGCCACGACAGCACCGGTGACGTCTCTGCTGAGAGGACAGGGGAGGTGGCAGGTGTGTTCAGGACATCTGGGATGGAGCACGGAGCCCTCACCCCCACAGCAAGAAGTCCATTAACAGCGTAGCCCGGGCCGGGCGCGGTGGCTCAAGCCTGTAATCCCAGCACTTTGGGAGGCCGAGACGGGCGGATCACTAGGTCAGGAGATCGAGACCATCCTGGCTAACACGGCGAAACCCCGTCTCTACTAAAAACACAAAAAATTAGCCGGGAGTGGCGCGGTAGCTATCGGGAGGCTGGGGGTGGGGGGGGGCGGAGTGCAGTGAGCTGAGATCCGGCACTGCCTCCAGGGGTGACAGCGGATCCATCTCAAAAAAAAAAAAACAAAAAAAAAACAGCGTAGCCCGGCTTGCTAAGTCACGATCCTCCACACACCCGTGGCCAACTCGAGGCTCACCGATGCCTCTGGTTTCCCTCCTGTCTTCGGCATGAGAGGACAGAACTTTTCCTGGTTCTCCTGACGCCTCTGGTGCGAGGCTGCGAGAGCCAGATGACCCTCTTCCTCCCGGCCCCCACCCTCAGTGATCCACATGTGAGCAGGATAAAAAAACACCTGTGGTTTTAAGACACTGAAACTTGGGGATTGTTTCAAGAGCAAAACGCAGCCCACCCTGACTGATGGACCCCTCCTTCACCTCCGCTTTACTAAACAGAGCTCCTGTTTCTTTCCTTTGATCCTAAAGCATGAAATGCAAGAGGCACTGAGTCTAAGATGGAGATGAGGGGACGCTCGTCCTCCTGGCACTGGGGGAAGCAGCTCAGTTCCGGCCACACTGAAGACACCCAGGATGCTCATCCCCTCTCATGTGAATATTCATGACAAAGGCCAACCTGTACGACATGTCTTCGATATGGGAACAAAGGGGACTCGGACAACTCCCAAGGGTTGAGCCACTTTTCCCACAAAATGTGCAAAAAACATCTGAAGAAATCTGTGGTTCAACACCTCCAGGGTACCTGCGGCCGGGGTGCACTGGCGCTCCTGCGGGCGGCATGTCACCGACGCGCCAGCGTCCTCAGGTGCAAGGGTGCCATCATCTGGCCTGGGTGAGAAAGTGACCAGCAGCCCCTCCCCGTCTCCCACATGTAGCCCATGAACCCACAGATCTCTCACCCCGACAAAAGCTTCGAGTCTTGTCTCACTTGAAAGAACACATCTAAAACTAAGGATATCAGGAAACAGCTCTGTACACACAGAACTCAGAAATACAGAAGCAAGGAAAACAGACAGCTAAAAAACTGAAAGGGTTGCTTTTGGAAAAATAAAAACGTGGGACTGGGAGATGCGGGGCCAAGACCACAGATGCTATGCAGAACGATTTCACTTTCTGAACTATGCCTGTTTGAAAGCTGAAAGGGAAACTTCCTATGAAGAGTAAAACTGAACGAGGAGGCCGGGCGCGGTGGCTCAAGCCTGTAATCCCAGCACTTTGGGAGGCCGAGGCGGGCGGATCACAAGGTCAGGAGATCGAGACCACAGTGAAACCCCGTCTCTACTAAAAATACAAAAAATTAGCCGGGTGCGGTGGCGGGCGCCTGTAGTCCCAGCTACTCAGGAGGCTGAGGCAGGAGAATGGCGGGAACCCGGGAGGCGGAGCTTGCAGTGAGCCGAGATCGCGCCACTGCACTCCAGCCTGGGCAACAGCGTGAGACTCCGTCTCAAAAAAAAAAAAAAACTGAACGAGGAGGAGAAAAAACCCTGAGGTGACACCAAGGCTCAGTCAGGGTCACCAGGGACGCAGCTGGCTTCAGAGCCTGCAGGCCACAGACTCTCTTGGGGCCAGCAACGGCCCTGGAGGGGAAGAAGCCGCACGAGGAGGGCCAGCTGCGGGGAGCTGTGGCCACGGCTGGGGAGTGCAGGCAGCAAAGGGGCCCCCAGGGAGGGCGTGGGCAGCTTTCCGGGGGACACGCCCACCACCGTGCGAGGCCACATTTGCAGGAGTGAGTTTGCACTCAGCGGTGTAAGGGAGTGCAAACGCGGACTCCAGCAAACACACTCATGGTGCAGACACAGCTGGAGGTTGGCAGCGGGTCCAGAGCAGGGATGCCTCCCACAAAGACGCCGTCCTCCACGATGCCCCCGAGCAATCCATGCCCCGCAGTGAACCCTGAGGGATGCACCCCAACAGCACACGTGCCCCAGAGCAGAGCACGGGGGGAAAGCTGGAGCTGGGGATGGAGAGAGGCAGACAGACACCACCCTGCACCCAGCACCCCCAACAACTGACCACAGCCCACCGCCACCCTTCAGAGCACCGAGAACCCGGATGGCGTGAAGACGTCAGACACCAAAACCGTGGTAACGGCGCCTTTTAAAAACCCGGACAAAGCACATCAGTGTTTATGTTCCACGGTTGCTCGGTTACTCGGGCAGCCTGCAAGGCCTGCCAGCAGGGAGCAGTGGGTGTGGTGGGTGAGGAAGGGACAGGACAGAGTGGCTACTTTGTATCACGTCTTTCCAAATACCATCATCAAAAAGCCCAACTAGAACCCACAACTCCCTCCTCTCCTGGCTACGTGCAAACGCAGCCTCAGCCCAGGCGGGCATGTGGCGTGGAAAGCTGCCCGCGACGACCACACGGAGGCCCCGGGACCTGCGGCTTTTCCGTGGTTTCCTTCTGAGCTTGTGACAATTCTGCCCATCGTGGGTAGGTGGCAGCAATGCACAGGCCAACAGCGCCCTGCGGCCAACAGCAGCCAGCACCCAGCAGAACCCCTGAGGGGCGGTGACTCTGCAGCCTCGGGGCCATCAACGCAGCTGCCCTGACCACACATTCAAGAAGAGCAGATGACAGAGCAGCACCTCCCCGTGGGCCCGCCTCACAGAGCAGGGGGGTGAAGGAAATGCAGCCAGGAGGGCGTCACCAGCCACGGGGACTCGGAACACATTCGACTGTCGCCGCTGGCCACAGGGACTGGGAACACCTTTAACTCTGTCGCCACTGGCCACAGGGACTGGGAACACCTTTAACTCTGTCTCCGCTGGCCACAGGGACTGGGAACGCCTTCAACTGCGTGGGGGGCCACGGGGACTGGGAACGCCTTCAACTGCGTGGGGGGCCACGGGGACTGGGAACGCCTTCAACTGCGTCGGGGGCCACGGGGACTGGGAACGCCTTCAACTGCGTCGGGGGCCACGGGGACTGGGAACGCCTTCAACTCTGTCACCGGGGGCCACGGGGACTGGGAACGCCTTCAACTCCGTCGCCGGCCAAAGGGATTCGGAACCCTTTAACTCCCCAACTCATGGTGGGCAGGGGCTCCTGTGCAGACTTACTGCTCAGACACCAAGGGCGACCCTAAAAGCACACCCCACAGCACACAGGGAGCACATGGAGGTCGCGTGGAGGCCGCGTGGGGGCCGCGTGGGGACCGCGTGGAGGCTGCGTGAAGGTCGTGGACTGCCTCCAACTGCCATCTCCAGGGCATGATCCGTGTTGTGGGTGGGAACTGGGGGACACTGAACCCCTCTGAGAGCACCCGGCACCCCACCCCACCCCATCCCAAGCCAAGCTCCTAGATCCAGAAATGGCTTTTTACAGGTCACCAGCTGTCCACGATACGTGGGGGATGGTTTCGACCCCACTAAGGAGGCAACTCCGGGCACCCATGGGTATGTCGGAAAGGTGACAGCCCTGCACCACGTGCTCTGGATGCATCTGAGGGACAGTGACCACGTCTACACGCAAAACATGACACGCCGGTCTTAGCCAGCAGGGACCACCTGCAGAACCGGCAGTCCCAAGCCTCCGACGTCAGCTGACAGAAACTGGCTCAGGTTTCCAGGATTGACTTTCCCGTGACATCCATCAAACCCACGAGAACACTGAGCTGACACCAGCAGAAATGCCAGCTGGCTGCTCTCAGCACAGAAGCCCCGCCGGCCTGGCTGGGGTAGAAGGTAGACGGCTGCAGGCCTCGGGCAGGTCCCCATCAGGTCAGGGCTGGGAGGTGTGGACAGAAAGCACAAGAGGCGGGTACAGCCCTGACATCCGGCCCTGGGCTCCCCAAACCCAGCCTGCTCTCCTCTGCTCGGACCACACAGACCTCAGCAAAAGTCTGCACACAACAGCAATTTTTCTAAGCTTCCTCACCAGCTGTGCCTCCACACTCACACTCACACTCACACTCACAGTCTCACAGCGGGGGGCTAAGGGTGGCGTGGGCTGGGCCGTTCGCAACGGCAGGGCCCTGGGAGCTGTGTCGGGGGGATCCGGCTCCCTGGACCCTAGAGGTTGGCTGCTGCCATTGGGAATGTCTAGGGAAATGCAATCAGGCTTTCACTTTAATACTCTGTGGATCTAAAATGTGTTCTACGCTTCCCTCCTCACACACCAGAAAGAATCAGCAAAGAGAAATGAGGCACTGCCCGACTGTGCTAACCCCCGGCAGGTATCAGAAGCTTGGGAATCGGGCGCAGACGTCCGCCTGGACTCGGGCGTGTAAGGAGCTTCGCCTCTGCTCAGCTTTCCTCTTGCGCCCACCTGAGCTTCCTGTGCTCGCCCAAAACAGCTCTGGGTCCCTGCACTGCTCAGTCCACCAGGGCAGGCCCGGGGCTGCTCTGTCCACCATGGGGCCGTGCTTGGAGGGATCTGCAATGACCACTGGGTCCACAGGTGAGCACTGGCCCCACTGCCCCAGCTGCCTCTGCTTCCTGAGAAATTTCCAGAACCAGTGGCTCCGGGGTGCAACCCCTCCCAGCTCACACTTCCTCTCGTTCTCTCAATCTCCATCTCTCAGTCTCTCTCTTATAGGCACCGCTGGGCAAACCAGGCACCCCACAGCTGCCGCCTCCACAGAAGAGACACACCCAGCCCTGCACCCTGGCAGGCCAACGGGCCGCCCCGCACCCAGGAGCACGCCTCCCTCATCGAGGGAGCAGCCCTTTGCTGCAGCCTTCAGCCTTCAGACCTACCTGCTTGTCTCATGAGCTCTCCTCCCAGACCCCTGAAAAGGAATGAAAACATCAGAATTAGAAGAACCTCCTGATGTACAAAACACCATGAAAGATGCTTGCCAGTGTAACCTCGGGCTCCAAAAAGCACTACAATGAGAACTAGTTGAATGTGTTACTGAGCATGAGTGACCTTTCATGAAAAAAGTAAAAAACATGGTACAGCCATCTTCCGGAGGCCTCCCATCCTAGCTGGGTCATGCTAATTTTTTATTTTTCCTGGACATTAGAGTCCCGATGGGTATCCCATCACAGAGGTAACTCCAAGCAGTGCTCAGTTCTTACTTTACAAAAGCAATCTCAGACGCCAGAAAGAGCCCCATCCAACCTAGAGAAGCAGCGCACTGCGGTTCTACCACAAGTGAAGCCAGGCGGGGCTCCGGGCTGCTCTGCCCGTCTAGGATGCCTGCCCTCCAACAGCGGGCCGGGTGACCCCTGGTTAACCCACACACAGCCAGGTCAGACCCTCACACACCTCCAACAGTGGGCCGGGTGACCCCCGCTCAACCCACACACAACCAGGTCAGACCCTCATACACCTCCAACAGTGGGCCGGGTGAGACCCGCTCAACCCACACACAACCAGGTCAGACCCTCACACATCTCTGACAGCCGGCTGGGTCCAGGTCAGACCCTCACCCACCTCCAACAGTGGGCCAGGTGACACCTGCTCAACCCACACACAACCAGGTCAGGCCCTTACACACCTCCGTCAGTGGGCCGAGTGACAGCCGCTCAACCCACACACACACAGGCAGTGCGGGGAGCGAACACATCCGTCCCGCCTGCTCCTGACACACAGCTCTTCATTAGGACACAGATATAAGAACTTTGGTTTTGTAAAGCTCACCTGTATAACTGACGATCATAGAGCTGAAAATAAAAAACAAAGTTATTTAATAATTTAAATTTTAAAATAATACATATACATTAATAATTGTCAAAAATAAGAACAAAGAGAAAACGGCAGAAGACGCCGTGCCAGCCAGGAGAGCCGCCTAGGGGGCTGGGGATGGAGGCCCACCTACTGACGCAGATGGCCTCATTTAACCTCCAGACAGGCCCAGCGCTCCCTTGAAGGGGAAACTGAGGCACGGAGCAAGGGGAGGGTGGCCAGACAGGGAGCTGGAGCCACCTGTGTTCTGGTCCCAGGGACCGACAGAACTCACCGAGGCAGCCCTCGGGCAGGGAAGTGATTGTGCCCAACAGGATGCTGAGGTTTCTTTTTCTTTAAAAGAGCTAAAAAGCCACACGGTGATGAGCACTACTACTAAAATTTACTGAACACTCACACTGTGCCAAATATTCTCCTAAACTCTTTAAAATATATTATTTAACTCACAAAAACTCAAGGAGGTCGGCCTATATTTTACAGGAAAAGGGAGCCATGGCTCAGCCTCAGTGGGGAGGCCACATTCATGGCGGCTGCCCGGGGCCACCTCCCCGTCTGCACTCTGCAGCCATGCTTGTCTCAGTCAGAGAGGGAGGACAGACACTACCTTAAAAGTGAAAAATGTAAGCAAAGTGGCTTTGCCAAAATCATAAAGCAAGTTAATGGCAAAAATAGGATAAGAATCCAAGAGGTGAATCTTAAAGAATATAAAGCTATCTGGAACAACAGACAGTAAACCATGTAATCCCTTGTGAATAAATTTTATATTCTCCTGTAACACCAAGATCCATAGTTCATACTTTACCTCTGGGTCACAGAAGCCTCTGAGACTCTCTAAAAGCCCAGAAAGATGAACACATCATCTCCCCAGAGAAATGCACACACAAAATTCTGGTTTACTTTCAGGAGACGCCAGACCCCAGTTGCAGCTGCACGGCTGGAAACTAGAGGTTTTGTGCTTGTTCTGTGTGCCCAGCTCCACGAGAGCACGGGGCCCACTACCCCCACCCACAGTTGGCTGCGCGCTCCATCCTGGGACCGAGCCGGGCGCCCCGAGGGAAACCGCACTCCAGCTACAGCTGAAACCTCCACTGACTGCACTGGCTTCATATGCCGTCCTCAGAGACCGAGGACACGTTGGCTACGTGCCCTCATTTCCCAGGAGTCTTTTCTCCCAGGGCAACCCCCCAAGGTGGCTGTTCACAAGCGTGACACCAGCGTAGAGCCTGTTCCCAGAGCGATCACACCCAGGTTCCACCACTGAGCCCAGGACTGATGGAGCACAGTGGCCACCAGGACTGCAAACCCTGCCTGGGAAGGGTGGGAGGCCCTGTGATGCCTCCCCAGGGGCATACCCAGAGGCTGCACACAAACCTGCTGGTGAATCTGCTTCAGGCCCTGCACTGCCTGCTCGTCCAGATGGTCCGTGACGGGCCTGCAGAAGGTCAAACAGCGAGTTGAGGCCACACTCCCCAAGACCCCAACCCCAGGTACACCCGGAGAAGCTGAGGTCACACCCCCCAAGACCCCAACCCCAGGTACACCCGGAGAAGCTGAGGTCACACCCCCCAAGACCCCAACCCCAGGTACACCCGGAGAAGCTGAGGTCACACCCCCCAAGACCCCAACCCCAGGTACACCCGGAGGAGCTGAGGTCACACCCCCCAAGACCCCAACCCCAGGTACACCCGGAGGAGCATGGGCTCAGCAAAGTCTCCTCTTGTTCAGGTCCTGGTGGGTCTCAGAGACCTCTGCAGGGCATACCTCTGATTATTTTTTTATTCTATTATATTGTTTTATATTGCATTGTTTTGTTTATTTTATTGTATTTATTTCATTTTAGAGATGGGGTCTCACTGTGCTGCCCAGGCTGGTCTCAAACTCCTGGGCCCAAACAATCCCCCACCTCCACCTCCTAAAGAGCTGGATTACAGGCGTGAGCCACCGAGCCCGGCCCATTTGTGACTTTAGATGAAGCAGTGACTGGTCAAAGGAAGAGGATGTTGGGACATTCCCTTAAAGCTGTGACCCCTGCCAATGTGACCATCTTGGAAAACAGAGAAGTCCAGGTGAGGCTGAGACGAGAGCTCATGTCCACTGCCATCCGAGGGAAGGCCCCTGGCGAGATCGGCCCTGGGCTGGCATCTGGGGGCCTGGATGCCAGCAGGGTTCCCACCAAGCCCTGCCAGATGAGGCCCCCTCGCTGGCTCAATCTGCACAAACCGTGTGCTTTACTCCGGTCACCTGCTTTCCTCCTGGGGGTCTGGAATTTTGTTTTGTGCCAGGTGGAGGTGCCCACATAGCCAGACCCCAGGCTGGCCTAGGCACTGAGGCTCAAACGTGCTTCCCTGATAGACACCTCACAGGTGAGGTCACATTTCACTGCTGGGGGAATGTCACAGGCTCTGTGGGACCCAACTGGAGGACCCTGGGAGCTCCTGCCTGGTTCTCCCCAGACCCCACTCCATGCGCCTTCTTCCTCCACCACAGAGCAGCGCCATCAAGGCCAGGTCTTGCACGGGCATCGGCCACACCCACACGAGCGAGCGAGCGTCCCTGAAGGAGTCGCACTATGCATCTGAGCTCGGGACTGACCAGAGCTCCCTCAGGCTGGGGCGGGAGGCGGGCCCATACCCTGCTCTCAATCCGTTGCCAGGAACTGTCTCACTGCACAGGGCATAACTTAAAATCGTTTCTCAAACTGGAGTCCGAGAACCAGGTCACCATCACTATGGTAAGTCTGGGAGTTTTTACTTTTGAGGAAGAGTCAACCGGGAAGAAACGTAAGACAGTCAATGCCTTACAGCCTCCTGCACACAACTTCCCAGCGACCCCGTATTTTTCATGCTTTATTACTATTTGTACAAACATAGCCAACTGAAAAATTCAAAAGAAAAGTGCATGTTCTCTGGCATTTTAAACTATCAGACGTGATGAAGAAAGGACACTGAACATGCAAGTCGCTTGATGCCATTTCGGAAAAAGGACCTTTGCTATTATGACCTCACTCGTCACCTCTGAGACCAGGAGGTGCACAAGGAGGCAGGAGGGGCAGGGTGACTGGGGGGAGACGCCCGACCCATCTGGGTGACACACCCCGCTGAAGAGAGGTGGGTGGTCCACCCCGGCACAACCGTCAGGAGAGGGCCACTTACACACTCCGTCAGTACAACCTGGGGCCTAACAACTGTGCCACTGGTGCAAATAAACAAAAATTAGAAGGGATGAGATAGCCCCGAAGTGGAAAGCACTGTAATTATATGGCAAGGGGATCAGGAACGGAGCCCTGTGTCTCCTCGAGACCCGCTCTTCCTACCTGTTCTCTTGGGCTGCAAGTTTGTACAAGGCGTAAGCAACCTCCGCGCAGGCAAGAATCGACCCATGCCTCGTGTGTAGGTCTGGACTCAGCGTCATGGACAGCAGCCTCGGGAAGACTGCAAGAGACAGGGCCGAGAGGGCAGGTGACAGTGTGTACACACAGATGACCGGTGGGACGTCCACAGACACCCACACAGGGCCAGGAGGGCAGGTGACAGCGTGCACACACAGACGGCTTGTGGGACGACCACGCTCACACACCAACAGTGGCGTCCCTCAGGGTCATCACCCCAGTGCCCAGGATGGCACCCGTGGTGATGCAGATGGCCTCCGAGACACCAAGGGTAACCGGACAGAGGCTGCTGTGTGCTCCCAAGTGCCCCAGACGGGGTGGGTAACTCAGACAGGAGAGGCAGCACAAAAGAGGAGGACACACTCCCCAGGCCTTCCCTGTCGGTGTAGGGTGGCCTCTGGTCCTGGCAGGGGCTCTGCCTGGCTGCCTGGGTGGTGGAGGGGGCGGAGCAGGACGGAGGCAGGGCTGCCCCAGGGGCGGTGCCTCTACTCTGAGTTTACTCAGAAAGCACAGACTCCTCAGAACCCTCGAGGCCACAGAGGGAGGAGGCTCTGCCACACCTGCAGGGGAAACCAAGCCCCCTGAGCCTTCGCCATCCCAAGTGCTGCCAGGTTTGCGATGGGCTGAGAATCAGAGAGGTTAAGATGTGGCGGCTGGGGGTGATAGGTTTTTTGAGAATCAGAGAAATCTACAAAAGGTCACAATCCCATCCTGGGTGTCCACGCTCTTCACCCAGACAGAGGACAAAGCTGGGCCCCTCAGTGTCAGCAAGGGTTAATTGTGCATTGGAAAGTAGGGCAGCACCACACTAAACCCGTGACATGGACGCCTCGTTCACAGATCACGAAGCTGAAAGATCCCTTAGGAATTAACAAGCCCCCACAGGATGTGAAACACAGGCGT